TGTGAGCTTGGCAGCGTTCGGTGAAGCTCGCTTCACTGTATCTCGCTGTACGATGATGATCACTGTTGCAATTGTACTTCGAACTTTATCGGACAAATGTTTCCTTTTGGATTAATTTCAGAGTTTCACCACGTTGCAATCCATCTTCGAAATTAAGTGAGGATCTGGATCCATATGCTTTCGTCGAAATTAGCCTATATTTTGAGGCCTACAGCCCTGTCAACAGTTTTCTTCCCTGGGAGTAAAGTCGGTCCGTTAGGCCACTATATTGGACCACTTCAACCTCCTCTCCGCTCTTATAAGGTGTTCGATCATTTGGTTCGCCGGTGCCGGGACTGTTATTTCGATCGGAGAGAAGGACGTCTGTATGTGGAATGTAAAACCCACCCGCGGCATAAGCAGGCGCAAAAAATGCGTGAACCCAAGACACCATGGCAATACAAAAGACAAATATGGAAACACGTCTGTTGGTAGTGTGATTTTCATTTTACCTTCAGTATAGACCAAACAAAGTCCTTTTCAAATTATTCGTGAACTTTTTTAATTGCAAAGCGCAAATGGGTATTGGGTTATCCAGTACTCCTTCCGGAAGGTTTGTGAAGAAATCGGTCGTGTATCAAATAGCCATGCCTTTAACCCAAGCGTTCTTTCAATAATTCGTACCCAGTCTCATTTTTGGAGTAAACGAGCTTCTTTGAACTTGTATAAGAGAACGAGTAAATTGCCACAAAGTCTACAATTTAGTCATTAAAACCGGCACATAAGTGGCTTTCCTTTAAAGGCTGCGATCGAATTTCACTCTTGTAATAATGCATTTACCTAGCTCGAGTGCACGAACATCCACCCACAATCTTTCTGCGTTCCGTACTTGTCGGTGCATAATCAGCGTTGATATATCTTAGTGGTAGCTATTTCCGTGTCCCGGACTTAATGTTATCTTACCGGCATAATCATAACCATCATCGTACAGCAAGATACAGTGAAACGAACTTCACTGATCGCTGCCAACCTCACGACATACACAAATCAAGTGATAAGGCACAAGATGGAGCCTAATCGGAGGAAAATAAAGTGAACCGAAATAAATGAAGCTGCTTGTTCATTATACGTTATAAGAATGGTGTCTCAAAATTGGAGTCCTATGTAGATCTCTGAGTTTGGGGGACAAGTCAAGTAATGAACAACGTCAGACTGCGTACCCCCTCAGCACTTGGTACAATGGCATGTCCATTGAGAAACCGCGCTGATTGTAGTCAATCTACGGCTGGGATATTGGCTGTGCATGCTCTAACCATAAAGTGTTTCACTTTGGGATCGGTTGTGAGAGATCTAGTCTACGAGTGGCGAGAAACAATAGTCCACATTTCAGTCAAAAATTACGTATCACCTTATCGAAAGGAAATAATACGAATGAAACGTTTAACCTCCAAGGTTGCTGATCAATTCAGAAGAAATCCGCTGTCGGTTTGCAAGGATTCGAGCGAGATAGGGAACTGTAGAATTTCTGTAGAGGTTACTGCGAGAGGGTAATAAACGACCGGCATTTGGATAGATCGCCATGTAAAGGATGGGTGAAGTCAGAGAGGATTGTCTGTGCAAATGTTCCACATGTGGACAAGTTTAGTTCATACAGTTTTCTAGAAAGATCATCAATGGGTATAAAAACAAACAAATAATTTTAAAGTCCTTCATGAACAGACTAACAAAAATAACCGGAAAACAGTAAAAAATGGAAAAACTTTGATAAACAAAAGTGAGATCCAAACAGGTCGAAACAGCCGTCCAGTGCTCCTCAAGCCTCATTTATACGTGGAATTCACCATATAACCTAATACAAACTTTCGTTTCTCTCATACAAGATATTATATTTTGTTTGGCGTTGGATTGTCTAAGTTTACGAAGTTGCAAATATGGTATGTCCACCCAGGTTTATGTCAACAGTAACTCCTAGGTTCTCCACAGAACCTAATCTAGTTAGAGGATCTGTGCTTATGACCGAAGGATCACGGTGATGAACAGATCGAGAGGGTAAAATTAAAAGGTCCTCAGGCAAGTAAATGGCTACGTCGTCAGTGTATTTGAATAATTAGGCTGGGGAACTCGCTGAGAGGTTACTGATGAGTGAAAAACAAGAACGGAAGAAGTGCTGATTCCTGGAGCACCCCCGAACTTTTCACTAGCGGTTTAGATTCTTTTGTGCCTACCCGAGTGTACTGAGTTCTGTTTGTGAAGTACGCCGGTAGGTGCCTGGGAATGCCAAAGAATTCCATTTTATGGAGGAGGGAACGTGCAACAGAGTCAGGTCGGCGAAAAATCCAAGTAAACACATCTTTAGATTTCGCGGATGCATCTAGGGATGTGGTAACCTAATGAACAGGGGAGGCAACAGTATCCAAAGTGAATCTGCTTGATCTATATACAAATCGGAGAGGATCTTCGGGAGCAGTGAAAGAAACAAACGCTTGAGAACGGCACGTTCTGACAATTTAGGACCACATGATGATAGAGCAACGAGATGGAAACATCCGGATAAATATGCTCGGTCTACACGGTTTTGAAATGGGGATGATCGTGAAGGGTCTCCAGGAATGAGGGATATAATACGTGCTAAATTTGTTGAAAAGAGAAATAAAGGCGTCCGCTAGAGCAAGGGCACCATGCTTTAGAAAGGATGATGATAGACCGTAGGCAGTGGACGATTAGTACTGAGGAGTTTAAATACTCCTCTTGAAAATAGGGTTATATTAGCCACATCTTTCGAAATCCATGAGGCACGAGGTTCACTGCTCGGATTTATAAATGCACGATTTATACCGTCAACGCCCACAATTATTGGTTTGGATTTCGTTCCACAGGATCTGAATACCTTATCATAGATATTTCCTGTTGTGATTGCTTAGTATTTGATTCGCATAGGTCGAGTCGATATGCCTAGTGTCCTTATTGTATCATTGTGGGAATGAATCTTACCATTAACGAGTTTGGGGATTCTTAGAAGTGTCTTTTGTGCCGCCTTAGCAATTTGATTTTCGGAGAGGCAATACGACCAATGGAGAGAAATAAGGTTTCCAAGGGACAACATGTGTCAAAAATGGAATTGACTGTATCGACAAAAAGACAAACACTTGTGCAATGCAGTCTCAAAGGAGAACCACAAGGTTGCATGGAACAGTGATCTTTGAAGAAGACGAATGCATTCACGTAATGTGTTAAGGAGACGAATTTTAGTTTGCCTAAACGAGATAGGATAATCCGGTACTCTCGAGTGGAATTTAAACCCATCCATAGAGCACGAATGTAAACGTCATCATATGACGTTGATGAGTTCAAAAGACCCGTTTATTGAATAGAAGCATCAAAATGAACAGCATTTTACTATATACAATGGTTCTAGTTATTTCTAGAGAGTCTTGAGAAATAAATCATACTCTTCTTCTGTTGCCTTGCCGAACTCGTTGCAGAATTCTTTGT